CAGGAGGCGAGGCAGAGCCGCCGCAACCTGGGAAGGGTTCTTCCTAAAGATTCCAGTTTTGAGCCCTTTGGGCACTGAACACATCACAGCTTTAGGCACTTTGACCTACTTTTGGCACCCGCAGACCTGACATTTATCTTCCAAGGAAGTGGCTGCCTCTGAATCCAATAGACTTGAATTCAACATGCTGGAGGAGTCTGCCTTCAGCCATCGCAGGGAGGCATTCCTAAGGATGTGTGTCCCTTCCCCACTGGAATCAGATCCAGGTCCAGCTCCTTTGTTGCTCTCTTTCTCGCCTAACTTCCCAGCAAATTCCGCCGCCCCCCCCACCAGCAAATGCCCTGAGCGTCACAAGAGTAACATTCAGGCGAGAAGGCGTAATTACCTGGGCTGCAGCGTTCTGGACTCGCCTTTCACGTCCTGGGTGCGGATGAAAGAATGCACGCTTGCATCAGCCACTCGAGCTGGCAGGTCCCGCCTGGCTCGGCTCAACGCCCATGCAGTCCACCTGGATGATGAGGCAAAAGAGAGGAAAGCCGATGAAATGCTGAGTTAGGCTGGTGGTGTTGAACTAGCAAGGGCGGCTAAGAGGGTGGGTTGCCTTTCGCTGAGAAAGGAGTGATCTACTGAGGGACAGTCTGCCTCTGACACGAGGAGTGAGAGATGGAAGCGGGGATCCAGAGCCCTTCCTCAGCTCAAGCTAAAGATCCCGCCCAGTCCCCAAACTTTAAAACAAGAGTGGTGGCGGGAAGATCCTAGGCAGACTGCCTGTCTCTATCCCCAGTTAGCCTCAAGTCATGCTGGTGCCAACTTACCTCCTCTTGAAGTTTGATGCAATGTCCAGCTTGGTTGCATCTATTCCGAACAACGAGACAGAGCCCAGGTAGAGAAGGGCGAACAAAACCACTTTCATCTTGTCTGGGGAGAGAAGGGCAAAAGGTCACCACCAGCCTGTTTTTCTCCAAAAGGTGGGGGTGGGGTGGGGGCTTCTTGGCAGCTCTGTGCACCAAGCAGGTCCCTCCTCTTCTCCCTTCACCTTCTCTCACTCTCTCTGTTCCTAAAGAAGTGAGGATTTTAGGAATCCCTGTGACACTTAGATCTAAACGTTTGCTTAATCATTCATCCCCGCAAGATCAATACCGAGCGTTCAGTGCTCGCATTTGACACACTTTCGATTTGCTTAGAAGGGCGAAGGCTAAAGCCCCCCTCCCAAATCTGGGTAAAAGCATTTAGTAAAGTTAAGCTCATATAGTTGAACGCAGGCAAAGCCCCCCGCTGCCTTTCCCCTCTCCCACTTTGCACAACAAAATTGAACTCTGATCATCACTCGAGGGCTACACTAGCCTCGTCCATTGAACTTCCACGGGAAGCACTATTCAAGGGCTTAAGGTCCCGAGCAAGTGTTTCTTGCCCGCGTTCAAATCTGCCACCAAGTGACAATCCGCGCTGCACACGCGCTCCGTCTGAACTTTCAGGAACGACCCCTTCCCCCTTTTCTCCCCCGCCCGCGCCTTAAACTCCCACTTACGAAAAAAATGCAGACCTGATAATGACGATAAACCAACTGCGGGTGGGGGCGAATCCTCCGGTAGCGTAACCGAAAAATAACACAGGTCCCCCGAAAGCGGCTCGGCTCAGCTCCGCGTCCGCCCCGCCTGCGCCACTGAAGTTACCGCTGTCTCTCCGCGCTCCGCTCGCCCTTTTATAGAGCGGCAGCGGGGAGGGGGGAAGAGCAGGGGCGGGGCTATCCACTAAGGTCACAGTCGGGGGGGCAGGCTGTTGAAAAGCAGGGAGTATTTTTATTTTACACCATTTGAAATTAGATCTAATGGACTTTCGGAAAGCTAGCGAACTTCCAGCGCTTACCTTTAAGGAAAGCCCTCCTAACTTGAACTATAGCCCGGCATTCTGCTTCTAATACGGTCCAGCTCCTGGGAGGCGGCCGAGCTCTTCCGCCGTGGGCCCTCCGATACCTGGGATTCGGAAGAGGGGGCCGGGGCTAGGAATGCGCCGACGCTAACAAACCCTTTCTTTGCAGCTAATAACGTCCCGCTTACTACCGACAACGTTGCGGGAAATTGCATTTGCTTATGAAACTAATATTCAAAAGAGAGGCAATTGGGTAAAGCGCGATCAGGGGTCCAGTTAAACGTCTGCCTTCACATTCAGTTTCCAAGGAGGAACGTCTTCCGCAAAAAACATTTAAATAGGAAGTGTAACGCAAGCGCTTCGAAACGATAAAGGTGGGCATACATTCTTGAGATAGCCCCGAAAGCTTCGGAATTGAAAGAGGGCTGGGTGCCTACGTGCGCATGTACGCGCGCGCGCTTGTGCGTGTATGTACGCATGTGTGTATGAAGGGAGAAAGAGTTGCGGACCAAGTTATTTGCTGGGAAGGAGACG